CTCCGACATCCTTTGCTGTTTCGCTTTCCTCCACTCAGCCTGCTCGGCTTCCCCTCAGATCGCTGGGGCTGGGGTGCCGCTGCTGTCTCCCCCTATAGTATTTGGCGCCAGGTGTCAGCCTTGGACCGAGGAGCCGGCGGCGGCCGTGTTCTCTGTGGTGGCCATGGGGCGCGGCGGGAGGCGAGTGTCGCCTCATCTGTCCGGCGGCACAGGGCTGCTGTCGGAGCCGTTCCCCAGGGAAATGGGGCGACTGAGGGAAGTCTGGCAGGACCCGCTCCCTCTGACCGCTGTGGTGCCCCAGTCGCGCTGGGCGAAGGGTGCCTGAGGGGGCCGGGCGGGTGTCGGGGCAGTGGGGTGGTTACCGGCACTGAGGACGATGGGACCTCAGGACCCGCTCCGCTGAAGGGGTGCGATGAAGCCTTCATCAGCGCGGGAGATAGGGTAAAGTTTTTGGTATTTCTTGTTCAGGAGAAGAAACTGGGGAGAGGAGTGTCAGATTGTGGTGTTTTTGTAGGACAAAACCCGGGTTTTCAGAGATCTAGGATTCCTGATAAAGTTTGGGATCTTTAATGTCTAATGTCTACAGCTCTTTTGCATTATAAGAACATAAAGCAAGACAGAGTTAACTCTTATCTGAAGACATTTTTAGGTAGCTCTAGGCTACAAGGTTTGTTGTGCAAAGAAGGGCATCAGATGAGCTTGACACAGTTTGTTCTGAACTTGCCTGTTTGGTCTCTTTCATATCAATTTCTTACTCTCCATGCACTTAACAAATACTTTTTTAGTATCTTTCTTGGAGTTGAAATTAGTCTAATGGCTTTCACAGTGGTTTGATAGGAATCCACAACGAATACGAGGTGAATCTGAGGTGAACAGCTGTCTTGTTATCTAAGTTCAAGTTTACTGCTGCTAAACTCTTTTTTTTTCATGCTCTTATGGTTTTGTCACTACTGCTAACTTGGTAGTGTGCACAATATGATTTTTACTTTTTTTTTCCCTTCAGGAAAGTGCTAAAAGAATTAGATTACTGAATTCATCATCAAAAGATAACACGACTGCTTTCTATGGAATAAATCAGTTTTCTCACCTGTTTCCTGAAGAGTTCAAAGGTAGGTTTTCTGGCTGCTGCTAATGCCTTTTCTGTTATTTTTCTTATTCTTTCCCAGAACCTTGTATCTTTCACATTTACAGATTCTTCCAGTGCTGATAGTCAGCTAGTTTACAATGTCTGATACCAAACTGTAAGTACTTCTGAAGGATACAATGGTCCTTTTCATGTTTCTCTAGTCCTGCAAGCTTGAATTGCCGAGAGCCTGAATTTGAGTTAAAATACAAAATTTTCTTTCCCTCTTTTCTTCGTTCTTCTTACTGGGCCTTGAAGCTTTCTTCAGTTGCAACAGTTGTAAAATTGAGTACTCTTTAAGTTCCTATTCTCTATCCCAAAACAAAATTGACTTCAATCCAAACAGTGCTTGGAGATCCAAAGCTGTACAATGATAGCTATGACTTTCAGGAGCAATATAGCATATTTAACTTTTTTAACTAAGAAAATTTGTCTAATACCTAACCTAATCTTCCCTTCTTGCCATTCAAGTCAGCTGTTATATGTTCTGTTCATCAGGGAATTTCACACCTTTTTAATTTTAAATAATTAAGCAGCTTTTTTAGTGAAAAAATAGCACTTTGAGTGTGTTTCAGAATCTTTAAATTATTCTCCTCTTATTTTTCCCCTTTTACTTGACTTCAGTAAAGTAATATTTTTCCAGTAAGGAAAATGTTGTAAAAATTTTCACAAAACTTGCCTTATGGAATAGTTAATGAGCAATTTCCTAAAGCTATTTCTGTTCTAGAAACAGTAAGAATTACATTCATTCTGGAGTGTAATGATTATTTTAAAATACATTAATTTTCTATGGATTTGAGAATGAAATGAAATCCCATGATTGTAGCTACAGATCAAAGTTACCTCTGTGGCTTCTAGGAAAACGGTTGTTTGTGTTTGGTTTGGGTTTCTTTAGTTAATAGATTTATAGATGTTTGTATTCTATGTTTAGCTATTTACTTAAGAAGCATACCTCACAAACTTCCCAGATACATAAAAGTACCAAAGGGAAAGGAAAAACCTTTGCCAAAGAAGTTTGACTGGAGGGACAAGAAAGTCATTGCAGAAGTGAGAAATCAGCAAACAGTAAGTCCCAGTGTTTTCCTCTCCTGGTTCCCAAGAGACAGTCCCAACAGGTACGTCGTAAAGCACAGGGAAGGTTTTGGAAGGGACCAGCACTGCCTCAAGACTCCTTGGAGCACAGGCACAAGTATGGCCAGTTGAGCATATACAAAAACACAGAGCATTTTATGTGAAGTGGGCTTAGACTTAAAAGTATGGGGTGTAAAAGTTGTGCACTTAGAAATTGTGCAATTATAAACCATGTGTAATGATTCTTTTGATCTAGTTAACTAAATGTGCCCATATACCTGTATGGGTGTAGATCCTCTGCTGTGGGTTTCTCTCATGATGGAATGCCCTTGGCTGGTCAGCACCCATATCTTTACCAGCGAACTCTTCAGGGGATGCATTTGTGATAGGGCATAACCAGGCCCCACGTGATTACAGTTTATCCCAAAGTGGTTATGGTCACTGGTAAGAAACAAACAAGCTGTTAAATCCCCAATGTCTTTCCTTTCTGTGTTTCACATAGTGTAACCTGGGCCTTGCTTAGGAATAAACTCTGCTTTCTGCTTTAAATGCCACAGTTTAAAGAGCCTAGAACTGCAGTATAGATTCTGATGCTGTCGAAGAATTTTTCTATTATGTTTAATTTCAGTCTACTGTTTATTAAACTGTAATCTAATATATCTCTATAAAATTTTTCAGACTGTAGAAAGTTGTAGTCTGTCTCATTAAGTGCATCCTTTTCAAAAACCAACTAATGTGGTCAAAAACTAAATTAATCCTGAGCCCCAGCCCTTCTTTAAGAAAATAGCTGTCCTGCAGTAAAAAAGCATCCTCAGACCTATCTTAAAGGGCAAAAATGAATCTGTAAAGAATCCATAAAATAAGACACCTATAATGCATTTCTAGCTTTCAGAACAGTACAGGTGAAAAAACAGTTCAGTATTTTAAATGACTGATTAAATTTCTTTATTGTTGCCTTAAAAACAAAGTTCAAGGGTGCTGTAGTGAGTTAAGAGCATTAGAAGACCATTTTGACTCTTTGCATATCAGGCTTTATAAACAAAGCTGACTTTCTTTCTCCTGTTTCCCTTCTCTTTGTACCAGTGTGGAGGCTGCTGGGCTTTCAGCGTTGTGGGTGGTATAGAGTCTGCCTATGCAATTAAAAGAAGTAAACTGGAAGAACTCAGCGTCCAGCAGGTTATTGACTGCTCCTACAATAATTACGGCTGCAGCGGGGGATCCACTGTCAGTGCTCTGAACTGGCTGAACCAGGTTTGAAACTTTGCATAAATCTTGAACCCTTCCTTAGCTTTCATATTAATGTTCTTTTTTACTGGGACAAAGTGATGGGGAAGGTAGAGTGTACATCTGATTTTTTTAATGTATGTATATATGCATATATATATATGTGTATGTGTATATATGTATGTTTATTCATTTAGTCTGGAATCAAGAGGGAGTTTGTTCAAGCAGAACTGAAACTTCATATTTTCTCGTCTTTATATGTTCTTGTGAGTGTAACAGATCAACCCACAGGAGTTGAAAATAATGTTCCTTGAGAACTACAGTATTGTCACAGAATTCAGTGGACACTGCAGCCACACAGTATCAGTGTAGAAGGAGCCATTTGAATAACTTAAGTTTGCATTTCAGGAAAGACAGAGGATATTCACCTGGGTTCCTCTGAAGCAAAATTCCCTCTTGCTTGGCAACTGGGGGACTACCCATGAATTAGACTGGAGAAGACACGGTCTTCCTGCAGAAGACAAAAGTATAAAAGGTTGATGCAGTGCCTTTGTAGCTGGACTTTGTGGCAGCCATTATAATGCATTGTAAACTAGCATGAGGAGTTGGTGCTAATAGCAGAATGGGACTTAATTTCAATATTTTATATAACTGTTCTTGGGATAGTTGTGGTTCTCGAATTGTCCCAAGGAGAGGATATTTTTGTGTGTGGATGTCGTTTGAAGAGAATGCACAGTCATTCATTAACCGAAGGCACAGTCTCTGTCTTGAAATTGATGAGATTGCTCATGAAACTCATTTAGACTAGAGATACTATTAAGTTTTGGTCATTATTTAAAGACTTCTGAATCTCTTCTGAAGCTTTCTCTACAAACAACAAAACTAGAGATAGTGAATATCTTACTTCTCAACATGACAGTCTTTTTTCTAAGAAGGCCAATGGCATCCTGGGGTGTATCAGGAGGGGGGTGGTTAGTAGGTCGAGAGAGGTTCTCCTCCCCCTCTACTCTGCCCTGGTGAGACCGCATCTGGAATATTGTGTCCAGTTCTGGGCCCCTCAGTTCAAGGACAGGGAACTGCTGGAGAGAGTCCAGCGTAGGGCTACAAAGATGATCAAGGGAGTGGAGCATCTCCCTTATGAGGAGCGGCTGAGGGAGCTGGGTCTCTTTAGTTTGCAGAAGAGGAGACTGAGGGGAGACCTCATTCATGTTTATAAATATTTAAAGGGTGAGTGTCACGAGGATGGAGCCAGGCTCTTCTCGGTGACAAACAATGATAGGACAAGGGGTAATGGGCACAAGCTGGAACACAGGAGGTTCCACTGAAATTGGAGAAGAAACTTCTTCTCAGTGAGGGTGACAGAGCACTGGACCAGGCTGCCCAGAGAGGTTGTGGAGTCTCCTTCTCTGCAGACATTCAAAACCCGCCTGGACGCCTTCCTGTGCAACCTCATCTGGGTGTTCCTGCTCCGGCAGGGGGATTGGACTGGATGAGCTTTTGAGGTCCCTTCCAATCCCTCACGTTCTGTGATTCTGTGATTCTGTAATCTCACCAACACTGAATTTTGAGTGAGCTCTGTGGTCAGTTTCTGTGAGTTCTGTTCTGCAAGGTGTTAAAGCCTAATGCATGAAATTCTCATTCGTTTATCTTCTTGCAGACAAAAGTAAAACTCGTGAGAGACTCGGAATACACTTTTAAGGCTCAGACGGGACTGTGCCATTATTTTGGTCACTCAGATTTTGGCGTTTCAATAACAGGATTTGCTGCATATGACTTCAGGTAGCTACTATTGATTCTTTTTATTTGCTGTACTTTTCCTTCCATGTTCACTGACTGGGGAGCAAGCGAGGGCCAATAGTGCATTGACCAGCCAAAGGTTACAGTTGCGTCAGTTCTGTAGCTATGTACTGGACAGGAATTAACATACAGCATTTTTGAGAGTTAAAGCCATCCACAAGGAGTCCTCTGAACCCTGCCATCACTAGGCCCATTCAAATGAGAAAGCTTAAGTCTGTGTCTTGAAATTAGGTCTTTTAAATTGGCTACATTTAACTGTAACACTGAGTCAGTCACAATTTTTAATGTATGCTAAATGAACATTACACTGTTGAAGTAACAGAAATAGTAAATCCTACCAATAGTAATTGGAATTTGTTGAAAAATGTAGCAAGTATTCAGTTACTTCAGTCTTCATCGTTTGCACGCCCACCCGCATTCTCCTCCAGTCCAGGACAGCAAACAGTCTTGTCAGCTGGGTTTTGTAAAGGCAACTGGGAGCTTTTTAGGTTTCTGTGCCAAGAAAGTTTGTTTCTAGTTTAATCTGTACAATACAGCTGCATACTGAACTTAAAGAAATACAGTTTTAACTGGGAAGTGAATTACTGCCAGATATAAGTAACTAAAATCAATTATTTGCCAGTCTGTATTTGCCAAAGTTAGTTCTTAGAAATACCACACGGTGATAAAGATTTCCTGTTTTGGTATATTATTACATAGGTAAAACTCTATGCTAATGGTAATGTCTGATAGTGGTAATGTCCTGTGTTTTGACATGTTTCAGATACATACTTAAGTGTGTTAATATGTATGATACAAAAAGTGCTTCTGTATGTTTGAAAAATTAAAGACAAATAATACAGGCTAATGGTTTGTCCAGAGCTGTTTTTTAATTGAGAAGAGTGGCGTATAAAAGGTACGTGGTGCTTATCATTGCCCACTGACCCAAAAACCTGATTCTTTTTAATAACATCATGTCGGCACCCTTCTCATAGTCTGCATGCCCTATATTTGTATTACTGTGTTGTAATATATGGAATAGATTTATTGATGTATGTTATGTGGTGTTTAGGACTCACAGGAAACAGTTGAATAATTTGATTTTTAAGTTGTACTTAAGTAGATCCCCACCGCTCCAGTTGCTTTAGTGTGTTAACTTAAGTCACTTGACATTATCACTCGCCCCTTTCGCAGCGGTCGGAAACAGTTGAATAATTTGATTTTTAAGTTGTACTTAAGTAGATCCCCACCGCTCCAGTTGCTTTAGTGCGTTAAGTCACTTGACATTATCACTCGCCTCTTTTGCAGCGGTCAGGAGGAAGAAATGATGAGGATGCTCGTTAACTGGGGCCCTTTGGCAGTGACAGTGGATGCAGTGAGCTGGCAGGATTACCTTGGTGGGATCATACAGTACCACTGCTCCAGTGGAAGAGCAAATCACGCTGTTCTCATCACTGGTTTTGACACAACGGGTACGTTTCCATCAACTGAACTTCAACCTAGCAGGTTGGGTGATTTTTCTCTTACTTGCAACTTTTCTCCTGTGGGGCAGGTGAAAAATCCAGAACTTGGTGCTCCACTGAGAGCTGTTTGGTTTGGTGTCACATCAGTTCTGCAAGTGCAGCCTGATCCTAGGAGAAAAACTCTTCTTGTCTGTGCTCCTTCACTTCTGTGGGACTTCATGTCCTTGTAAAGTCACAAACATGTCTGTGTGTGTCTTTATGCTAGCAGAGGATATATCCAGTCTGTTCAACACTGGGCTATTAGCTCTGTCCTCTATGTGAGCAGAAGTAGGTTTCATTACACTGTATCATCAAACCATCAGAAACTACGAGAGATTAAAATGGGAATTAAGTCCGTAGGGTTTTTTTATGCTTCTCACATCTCATGTTGTCTCTTGTTTATGAAAATGTCTCTTCCAGGTAATATTCCTTACTGGATTGTGCAGAACTCTTGGGGGCCTACATGGGGAATCGATGGCTACGTTCGTGTTAAGATAGGCAGCAATGTCTGTGGTAAGTCTGACAAGCAGTAATTAAAGCGGTAAAGGCCACATGCTGGGGTATGTTTCATCATGTAAGTAAAGAGATATAACAGGATCATCAGAGAGGAAATACAAATCATTGCTATGTTTTCAAAGAGGTTAAGTGAGTCCAGGTGGAAAGGTAAATAAAGTGGTTGCTAGTTCAAGCAAGCCATACAGTTAAATGATTGAGAAGCACCATGCAAAGGTAAGGCCATATAAGGCATAACAAATAAAGTGCTATTGTACCTTACCATGTGAAGATAATGACATTGTAAAGTATGGTTGTGTATCGTAGTTCTGGGTAGTGGAATTAAAGCAAGTCAATTGCAGAAGTGGTCAGGAAGAACAGCTGTGTTATTTTCAAAATCCATTCTCTCAAAAAGCAGGGTCTTTCACATTTTCTGCAGTGTGCCACCCACTAACAACCCAGCAAACGCCAGTAGTTGCTCTCCTTCTCCCGCAGATGTTGTTTTCTGATTTAGAGGTGCTCTGACACCACTTTTGAGGGTATAAGAGCCGTCACCCTTTGATACTTCACAGGCTGCAGTCAGACTTTGCTTTTAGTGCTGGAAGGAGTACAGCAATGCAAAAAGAGCATCAATAAAAGCCTATCTTGCTCTGTGTTTGCATGAGCGTTCAAAAATGTCTTGTAATGGAATTTGTGATCTCCAGTCTCTTGGTGAGCTTTTAAGGCTACACAGCTTCATATTATCTATCCATTGCTAATGAATGTGATTAAGAGGGAAGAGAATATCAAAGTTTATATTGCTCTTCAGCACCCTGACTGGACCAATGCTGAATCCCCAGAAAGGACATAAACTTGAAGTCTCCACTTCCAGTATTTATTAAATTTTTGTTTGTCTGTTTCATTTGCAGGTATAGCAGATACAGTTTCATCAGTATTTGTTTGACACTGGCCAAAGACCACGATTATCGTCTGGATAATAGTTTGGCACCCACACTGTGTATGAAGATCTACTTCAAAGCAACATTGTCTGAAATAAGCAATGACTGTAAGGGCAATTCCTGCTTTTAGGCAGTACAGGAAGAAGTTGGCTGGAGTTTTAAAAAATGTCTTTATTTGCAGTGTGTGTAGCGTGTCAAATCCTTCATGGAATAAGAAGACTCGGAACCAACTGCAGAGGGCACAGAAAGAAGTTACAAAGATGGACTGAAACCGTGAATGTGGACTCGATCCAGGTGTTGAATACTACTCCAAAAAAATCTTACAAGAAAAGAAGTGATGAGAAATGATAAGGAATTTGGATCAAATGATCAATAGTATGACAGAATATAATCAAAATCTTGAATATAAGAACCACTATGACTCGGTCTGCTCTTACTGGGTAGGGAAAAAGGGCTGTTAGAAGAAAATATTCTCTTTTATGCTTTGATACCTGTCTTGGCTTTTCTAGCCCCTCAGGCAGACACACACATTTTGTCTTCCTTGGTTTTGTGAAATCCTACTTTTTCTCTGCAGCTGGAATAAAAGAAGAGGGAAGGGGGTAGTCAGAGTTGTTTCCTGAGCACCCACGGCCTCTGAAGTGCCACAGTCCTTCACCTTCAGTTTTCAGACCTTTATTGGGTGAAAACAACTTCAGAGCTCTCCAGAGCAGGGAGTGTGTTTTGGAAAGTGCTTGGAATATCAGACTTCAGGATTAATTGGTTAGATGGATAGAAAAGCAAGAAGTAACTGCATTTAGACAAACAGAGGCAGTTCTAGGGGTTGAACATCCCATGTCCTGGCAGGATGTGTGTTTGCTAATCAGCCTTTTACAGCTGTGTCAGTTCCACGCCTGCTCCCTTCCCTACTTCACAACGAACAGAGGCCAGTTGCAAAGCAGGACTTAAAAAACTTGCTTATTATAGAAAAAAGCGCAAGGGTGGGGTTTGTTAATACATATTTCCCACCTTTAGAAAGTCAGTCAATGATGGAATACTCCAAACAGAGGGGATGTTAAATTTCCCTACAATAAGTGAATTCATAGGTAGGACTTTGCCAATGAGAAAGTGTTTCCAGCTTTGCTGACCTGTAAAACTGCACTTGCAGGCACGTGTAACTAGAATTCACAACCAAACATAATTCTGAAATGCTCTGAATCTTTCACCTGAAATGCTTTACCTGTAGCTTTTATGAAGTGCTACTGTGACGAGTACCGAAGCGAGTTAATTTTTGCACTCAATGATTGTACCATGTCGATAGATCAGTGTATTAGAACCTTTTTATGGCAAATGCAATGGTTGTTCATTATTGTCTGCTTTAGTAGTGCTGTTTTAGCCCTTCTCCATGTTAATATTTTAAATGAAAGGGAGAGCAAGCGCTGTGTTGCACTATTTCAGGTTCTGCTACTGGCTGAACAATTCAGATTAACAAAAGGGGAAACCTCCTGTAATCTTACACGACTTAGTCATCTGTAGCATGGCCTTCCCTTAGCAGTTTACAAACAGCCAACAGCACGCTTCCCTAACTGGAAAACAGCAGCCAAAGCTCCTCATTTGCACTGCTAAGGGATGTTATAATGGTATGAAACACGTTCTGCTGGTCCTACCAGGCATAAGCACCTAAAGCGCTGAGATACAGAGGAGGTCACCAGAAATTCAGGCCTACAGCACCTGTGTATTTCCAAGGGAAGCATTTAAAGCCAAGAGTCCATCTAATGAGGAGACTTCATCACTGGTTTGTGGCCAAATTTGCCTTGCTTTTGTTATATATCAATTTTATCCTTATTTTGATGGTATCTTGAATAAAAAACACTTTAAATGCCTGTCGTAATGTTGTTTGCACTTTCTGCTTGCTTTTGAAGAAGTCTTAACAAAGGAAGAGCTTTAATACTGCTTTATTTGAAGTGCAAAGTCAGTACTTATTTAGATGTGCCATTCCTAACAGTAAATGTTTCTACTGGAGGGATTATCATTCACATGCACATGTAACAACACATAGATAGCAACACGATTCCTGATGTATGTAAAAGTCCAAGAGGCTTCGGTGTCTATAGATTCAGGACATAATATTTTTTTATTTTTTTTTTAAATCTAACTTTTGAAACTCTGAACCCAAAATTCCTTTTGAAATGCCATGAGTAAGAGCTCAGAAACTGCTATTCTGCTGGTGATGAGACTCATTACATCCTCAACTGGAAGAAGTCAATTACTAACAGCCATTAGGCAAACAAACAGATATAAAAATATGTACAAGAAAGACATGATCATGATAATTCCGTATAATTTGCTGCCTCTCTCTAGGTGTAAGTTTTAAGAAGCCATTAAGAGTGAAATTGGTCATCGAGTTGAATTGGGGTATCATTTCAGTCTTAAGATAGGCTAACTCGGTAGAGATTATTTTTTCTACAAACAATTAAGTTCCTTCCATAAGCTGATCATATTATTCACATTGCTGCCATACATAAATACATATTTACACACCCACACTCTGTGAGAAGAGCTGTTTTAGCTGGAGGATAGCACCACTGGAGGTGAAAGTCCTGCAGGTCCTTACAGCACCCGGGCTGGAAGGGCAGGTTAGTCTGAGTCCTCGCTGCTGAAATAGGAGCTGTCGCAGTATTCTGCCGTGTAAAGGAATTTATGAATGGTGGGGTTCATCTTTGGTATCCAGTGTCTTGGCACTAGGAATGTTGACAGATTGAACAGATCCACGAACACCTTGTATCTGTCACTGGAAAAGACAATTGGAACCATTAATGCTGCTGTATTGGCACAGGCCATAATTCCAAAATCCCCAGAAATCATTTCATCTCTTTCATTTATTTAATAAGGTTTCTGCACTAACCCTCCTCCTGGATATTCCAGAATAAAAATCCAATCCTAGTTTTTTCTAGGGCAAGGCAGATTAGATTTACAAGGGAAATATGGTTGCCATAGTCACATCTTTCTTTTGAAAATGCAGAGTATGTAGGCTCTAATCTCCAGACCTCTGCTCCTGCAGTAGATACTAAGTAGAATTTATCTAGGAAGAATTAAGGAAGAATGAGAAGGCTGGCCTTTAATCTTTGAATTGTATCTAACCATCTGCTTTCTTTTCCACTCTCTGTTACAATGGCTGTGAAGGGAATCATTGCCCACAGTCATATGTGGCAGTCACCATCTACCTATGGTTTCTCTTGGAAAACAACCCTCAAAGAAGGCCCTTTCATAAGATTTTTTAAATATCCTTCTGCTTTTTGAGATCACAGAATCACAAAATATCAGGAGTTGGAAGGGACCTCAAAAGCTCATCCAGTCCAACCCCTGCCAGAGCAGGATCACCAGAGCAGTCACACAGGAACACGGCCAGGCTGGTTCTGAATGTCTGCAGAGAAGGAGACTCCACAACCTCTCTGGGCAGCCTGGGCCATGCTCTGACACCCTCACAGTAAAAAAGTTTTTCTTCATGTTCAGGTTGAACCTCCTATGCTCCAGCTTGGGACCATTGCCCCTTGTCCTGGCATTGGCTGTCACAGAGCAGAGCCTGGCTCCTTCCTCCTGACACTCGCCCTTTACAAATTGATCCCCATGAATGAGGTCACCCCTCAGTCTCCTCTTCTCCAAGCTAAAGAGACCCAGCTCCCTCAGCTGCTCCTCATAAGGGAGATGCTCCACTCTCTCCATCATCTTTGTGGCTCTGCACTGGAGATAATGTTCAGGACTGTCAGGACATGGTTGCAGCTGAAAAGCTTGACTTGTCCAACTTGCTGAATCCTCAAAGTTTGTTTTAAAAAAAAAAGTTCTGCCCATTCAGAGAGGTCAGTGCTCAGGCCCCAACCATCCCTTTTAAGTTCCTTTTCTGCTTCATCCATGAGAAAGAAACATGTTTCCGGTTGTTGCCTGCACAGCTTGAGAGTATTAATTACTGTCAGCTTTAAGAATGTATTAAATGCTAAATGGAGGTACCTTAGGTCATACCTATTAGAGGTCATGCTAAGGAATAAAGAAACTGCCATCAGCTGGACAGCGGGCAGGACTCACTTCCAGCCTGTATCACCTCATTAATTTCATACAATCATAGAATGAGTTGGGTTGGAAAGAACCTTTAAAGCTCATCCAGTCCAACCCCTGCAGTGAGCAGGGACATTGCTACCAGATCAGGTTGCTCACAGCCCCATCAAGCCTGACCTTGAATATCTCCAGGGATGGGACCTGCACCACCTCTCTGGGCAACCTGTGCCACTGATCTACCACCCTGAGACTGAAGAGCTTTTTCCTAATATCCAACTGAAATCTGCCCTTTTCTAGTTTAAAACCATTACCCCTTGTCCTACCGCCACATGCCCTAGTGAACAGCTCTTCCCCACGTTTCTTATAGGCACCTTTCAGGTACTGGAAGGTTGCTGTGAGGTTCCCTCGGAGCCTTCTCTTCTCCAGGCTGAACGACCCCAACTCTCTTAGAGCTTGTCTGCATAGGAGAGGTGCTCCAGCCTCTCTGATCATCAATTTGGGTTAGCCTGCATGCAAACTAAACGAGGCAGGCTTGCTATTACTGCTATTACAGTAACACCTACATCCCTTGACTGAAAATTATAAATGACACTTTACATGAGTGATCAAAATGAGTTCTTTTTGCCTCAAAAGGCTTGGAATTCATACATGTTAACCTGATAAGTGAATGTACAACAACTAGGAGGAAATGTGAGAGTGCCAGAAGAGAAACAAAAGCTCTCTGGGCTCCAATGAGCTGCCTGATATCTGTCCCCTGGCATTAGCTTATCTGCAAACTGCGTTATTGCAGGTAACGGGGGAAACGCGTTACTCTTACCTCACTGTTGAGCGCAAATACTGGTAGCCTGAGGAGCCCCCGGTGCCAGCCTTGCTGCCAATCATTCTGTGCACCATGCAGACGTGGTTGTCTAAGAAATACAAATGAAGGACATGGTGTGTGCTCAGTGTAAAATACAACCGAAGGGTCATGTCAAGGTGCATCACTGGAATAACAAAGATCAGA